TTTATTTTAGTTTTTAAATAAAAATTATTTCTTAAAATTACAAAATTATATCTCAATTGGTATTTTACTTGAATTTAGAAATATTTTGGTACAAGACAAATTTTCTGTGGGAGGTTAATGGTTTAAGGCCCTTAAAAACTTATACCTACCACATATAACGGTATCTCCCGATATTCGTTATTTTAATGATTTCAGCGACATTATTCACTGGAACTGTTTCAAATTTCATATTTGAAGTTCGTAATGGGTGCTATAGCATATGACAAACAATATAGTGAGGAATTCCACGTCTTTGTATTGTTCCCATGTAACTGCTTTCAATTAAGTGGTAGTTTTCGGATTTTTTTTTTTTTGATAATTTTCAAATTTTTGTTCCACATGGCGGAGGGTATTAAAAGTTCGGCCCGGCCGAATTTAACTGTTTTTAAATTGTTTTTTTGTTTTAATATTTGGGATTTTTTTTTTAAATATTTGTGAACATTTTCCTGAAATTCGTCAATTTTTAAGAATCATATTGAATGTCCGTTAGAGTTCCATAGGCCAACATTTTTTTTATAATATATAACTTGATGTAAAAAACCAAACTCCAGGATTTCCGTAAAGTTTAGGCGCCATTATACAACCTCTGTGATTTTCCTTATTTTTCTTAAAAATATATATATATATATGGGATGGGAAAAATATCCTAAAATCCTCGTTCGTCAAGGCTTCTAGGGTTACAAGGCCAAAAATGACAATTCTTTCATTCCTTCCCTTCAAAAAAAAAAAAAAAAAAAAAAAAAAAACAGGTTATGTGATATCAGTCAAGTTTTGACGCCATTTCCAACCTAAGGGAATTTTAAAAAATGATGAGAGAATGAGAATGAATGAGATTTTCCCGCAATTTAAAAAAAAATGTGAAAAATTTCCTGAAAATCCTCGATTTCCAAGAATTATATATAATGTCCCTCAGAGCTCTATGGGCCACCAGGCCAAAAATGTTAAGTTTTTATTTCTTTCCTTTCGAAAAATCTAGCTCCGGAATTTCAGTCAAGTTGGGCGCCATTTTCTAACCTCAGCAAATTTACTAATATTTTTCTTAAAAAATATAAGGGATTTTTCTACAATTTAAAAAAAAAATCTGAAAAATGTCCTGAAGATCCTCGAAATCCTCGTCCGTCAGAGTTATATGGGCTATCAGGCCAAAAAATGACTAATTTTTAATTCCTTTCCTTCGAAACACCAAACTTCTTGATTTAAGTTCAATTTGGGTGACATTTTCCAACTTTGCCTTATTTTTTTTTTTTTAAATAAATGGGATTTTTCTGCTATTTAAAAAGAAATCTTGTGAAAAATTTCCTGAAAATCCTCGATTTCCAAGAATTATATTTGATGTCTGTCGGAGCTCAGTGGGCTACCAGGCCAAAAATGTTAAGATTTTAATCCCTTTCCTTCGAAAAACCGAAATTAATGATTTCAGTCAAGTTTGGGCGCCATTTTCCAACTTAGCTAATTTCTTTAAAAAATCTATATATTTTTGTAATATTTGTGAAATTTTTTCTGAATATCTTCAATTTTTAAGAATTATATTGAATGTCCGTTAGATTTCCATGGGCCACCAGGCAAACAATTTTAAAATTTTAATTCCTTCCCTTCGAAAAACCAAGGTTCATGATTTCAGTCAAGCTTTTACAACCTCTGCGAATTCTCTTTAATATGCCTTTAAAAAATATATGGGATTTTTTTGAAATTTATTAAAACATTTTATAAAAATCTTCCTAAAACTCCTCGATTTCCATGTCTGTCAGAGCTCAATGGGCAACCAGGCCAAAACTGTTAAGATTTTAATTCCTCCCCTTCGATAAACCTCAGCAATTTTACTATAAAAGGTTAGAAACCTCAGCAAATTTACTAATATTTGTCTTAAAAAATATAAGGGATTTTTCTGCAATTTAAAAAAAAAAATCTGAAAAATATCCTAAAAATCCTTGAAAATCCTGTCCATCAGAGCTATATGGGCTACCAGTCCAAAATGACAAATTTTTAATTCAAGTTTCGGTGCCATTTTCCAAACTCAACGAATAGCGTTATTATATTTTTTTTTTCTTTAAAAAATATATAAGACTTTCCTGCAATTAAAAAAAGAATGTGAAAGATTTTCTAAAAATCCTCGATTTTCAAGAATTATATTTAACGTCCGTCAGACCAGGAAAAAATGTTAAGATTTTAATTCCTTTCCTTAGAAAAACAAAACTCCAGGATTTTAGTAAAGTTTGGGCGCCATTTTCCAACCTTAGCGAATTTTCTTATTTTTTTTTTTAATATATGGCATTTTTTTGTGGAAAATTTCCTGAATATCCTCGCCCGTAATAGCTCATGGACTATCAGGCCAAAAAAAGACAAATTTTTAATTACTTCCCTTCGAGAAACTAAACTCCTGGATTTCAGCCCAGTTTGGGCGTCATTTTCCAACCTCAGCAAATTTTTTTTCTTTAAAAAATATATGAGATTTTCCCGCAATTTAAAAAAAAAATAGAAAATTCTCCCGAAATTCCTTGTTTCCAAGAATTATATTTAATGACAATCAGAGCACCATGGGCCACTAGGCCAAAAATGTTAAGATTTCAATGCTTTTCCTTTGAAAATCCAAACTCCCGGATTTAAATAAAGTTTGGGCGCCATTTTCCAACCTCAGCGATTTTTTTTCCTTAAAAATTGGAATTTTTCTGCTAACAAAAAAAAATTGAAAAATTTCCTGAAAATCCTTCTCCGTTAGAGCTCTATGAGCCAACAGGCCAAAAATGACAAATTTTTAATTCCTTTTGTTCGAAAAATCAAGCTGCTGAATTTCAGCCGATTAAAATTAAAAAAAAAATGTAAAAGATTTTCTAAAAATCTTCGATTTTCAAGAATTATATTTAACGTCCGTCAGACCAGGAAAAAATGTTATGATTTTAATTCCTTTCATTTGAAAAATAAAACTCCAGGATTTTAGTAAAGTTTGGGTGCCATTTCCTGAATATCCTCGCCCGAAATAGCTTCATGGACTACTAGGCCAAAGAAAGATATATTTTTACTCACTTCCCTTCGAGAAACTAGGCTCCAGGATTTTTGCCGAGATTGGGCGCCATTTTCCAACCTCAGTGAATTTCCATACTTTTTTTATTTTATTTTTTTCTTTTTTAAAATATATATGGGATTTTTCTGCTATTTTTTTTATTTTGTATTTTCAAAATATTTTTAAAAACTCACCTCCAGCTGAAAGATAGTTTCTCTTTGGGCCGCTGACAGATGCTGGCGATAGTCGAAGGATAGCAGTTTTAGATGCAGATGATATAAAGATGAAATTGTAGAACAGCAAAATTAGATTTATTTTCATTTGTTTATTTGAGAATTTGTTACTTTTTTGTTTTCACTTTGACAATTATATATTTTTTCCTTTTGTTGATAGAAAAAATTTGAATTTGTTTTGAAAACACTTGAATTTTAATTTTTTAAAAAATATATGAGATTTTCCCGTAATTTAAAAAAAAAATGTGAAAAATTTCCTGAAAATCCTCGATTTCCAAGAATTATATTTAATGTCCGTCAGAGCTCTATGGGCCACCAGGCCAAAAATGTTAAGATTTTAATGCCTTCCCGTGGAAAAACCTCAGCAAATTTACTAAAAAAAAACCTTCGAACCTCAGCAAATTTACTAATATTTGTCTTAAAAAATATAAGGGATTTTTCTGCAATTTAAAAAAAAATCTGAAGAATGTCCTAAAAATCCTCGTCCATCAGAGCTACATATATGGGCTACCAGTCCAAATTGACAAATTTTTTAATTTAAATTTCGGTGCCATTTTTCAACTTCAGCGAATAGCGTTATTTTATTTTTCTTTAAAATATATATAAGACTTTCCTGTAATTAAAAAAAAATGTGAAAGATTTTCTAAAAATCCTTGATTTTCAAGAATTATATTTAACGCCCGTCAGACGAGGAAAAAATGTTAAGATTTTAATTCCTTCCCTTCGAAAAACAAAAAAAAGTCCAGGATTTTAGTAAAGTTTGGGCGCCATTTTCTAACCATAGCAAATTTCGTTATTTTTTTTTTTTAATATATGACATTTTTTTGTGAAAAATATCCTGAACATCTTCGCCCGTTATAGTTCCATGGACTACCAGGCCAAAAAAAGACAACTTTTTAATTACTTCACTTCGAAAAACTAAGCTCCTGGATTTCAGCCCAGTTTGGGCGCCATTTTCCAACCTCAGCAAAATTTTTTTTTTTTTTTTAAATATATGAGATTTTCCCGCAATTTAAAAAAAAAAATAGAAAATTTTCCTGAAATTCCTTGTTTCCAAGAATTATATTTAAAGACAATCAGAGCACCATGGGCCACTAGGCCAAAAATGTTAAGATTTCAATGCTTTTCCTTTGAAAATCCAAACTCCAGGGTTCAAATGAAGTTTGGACGCCAATTTCCAACCTCAGCGATTTTTTTTCCTTAAAAATTGGAATTTTTCTGCTAATAAAAAAAAATTGAAAAATTTCTTGAAAATCCTTCTCCGTTAGAGCTCTATGAGCCACAGGCCAAAAATGACAAATTTTTAATTCCTTTTCTTCGAAAAACCAAGCTAGTGAATTTCAGCCGATTAAAATTAAAAAAAAATGTGAAAGATTTTCTAAAAATCCTCGATTTTCAAGACTTATATTTAACGTCCGTCAGACCAGGAAAAAATGTTATGATTTTAATTCCTTTCATTCGAAAAAACAAAACTCCAGGATTTTAGTAAAGTTTGGGCGCCATTTCCTGAATATCCTCGCCCGTAATAGCTTCATGGACTACCAGGCCAAGAAAAGACAAATTTTTAATTACTTCCCTTCGAGAAACTAAGCTCCTGGATTTCAGTCGAGTTTGGTCGCAATTTTTCAACCTCAGCGATATTCCTTAATTTTTTTTCAATTTTTAAAAAATATACGAAATTTTTTCTAATTTTTTTATTTGGTATTTTTAAAAAATCCTTAAAAACTCACCTCCAGCTGAAAGATAGTTTCTCTTTGGGCCGCTGTCAGATGCTGGCGATAGTCGAAGGATAGCAGTTTTAGATGCAGATGATATAAAGATGAAATTGTAGTACAGCAAAATTAGATTTATTTTCATTTGTTTATTTGAGAATTTGTTACTTTTCTGGTTTTCACTTTGACAATTACGTTTTTTTTCTTTTGTTGATAGAAGAATTTGAATGTGTTGCTTTGTTTTGAAAACACTTGAATTTTTTTGTTGATATTTTTCTATGGCTTCCTGGGTTTGTTGATTTGCAATTATGTTTTCTCTTTTTTTATATAAATGTGGTTATTTGGTTGTGTATTTGAAAATGGATTTTTATTTCAATATTTATTTAACACTGGAAAATTTGATTTCCAATTTGTTTTTCCTTTTTTTGTGAACAATGGAAAGCGAACTTGGCCACCTCAAGTGTTTGGATGGATGTAAAGGGAGTTATGCCTTGTGGGGGTTGATTTGTTGTTGTTGTTGTTGTTGGAAGTATTGAAAAAAAAAATCATGAATAACAACAATTTGCTGTTAATACAATTACTCGTTGCTATTACTAACGTTGTTGTTGTTGTGGTTTTGTTAAATACCTTGTGGTAGCTGCTGTAGCATCACCACCACCACCAGCTGCTGCTGCTACAATAATGTCGTTGATGGCTACTACAACACTTGTAGAGCAATTCAAATTTTCCAATTTATTTTCCAATTTTCCGAATTTCATTTGTTTGCAAATGTTTTTTCTTTATTTTCCGCTTTTGCTATTGTTGTTGTTATTGTAGTACTTGTGTGGAAAAACGTTTTTGTATTTTTAATAAAATTTTATTTTGCAACAAATTGTATTTTACGTTTTTCCCCTGCGTCAATATTGTTTGATTTTAAATGTTAAAATTGCTATTTATTTTATGGACAGAAAAATCAGAGAGAGAGAGAGAGATATAGAGAGAGGGGATTTTGAGAGCGGGGAGAGAGAGGCGTTGTATTGAGATATTGCCCCCCTTTTTAGTGACAATGATTTGGAAAATCTTTTCAATTTATTTTAAAAACGTCCGGCCAGCCAGAGTATATGTTTGTGTGTGTGTGGCTGAGGGAAATAACACAGACACTGATTACACAAATGTTTACCAACACAACTCCACTTGGCTAGTCTGCAACAAAAACAAATACCAATGCGACATGTGTATGCACACGCACTTACTCTCCGCTACTTCATTTGAGTGCTGATGCTGCTGCTGCTGTTGTTTTTATTTGTATTTACCAATTTGCAATGGGCTATTGTATGAGTGTGTGTGTGTGTGTGTGCATGGGTGTGTTTGCACTCTATGTCGGCTATTATGACATGAGCACCCAAACAAACAAGCAACCGGCAAATAAAAACTCTCTCTCAAACACACAGAGACGCACGCAGAGTGGACAAATAGTGCCTTTTGTGTGTTTGTTGGGAAATTTCAATACAAAACGGTAATATGTTCCAGAGCTTTGTTTACGTTGTTGTTGTAGCTATTCTTGTTGTTGTCCCTGTTGTTGTTGTTCTGTGTCCTGTCCTGTTTGTTTATTTATTTATTTTATACGTAATTGATAACTTTTGTAACGGATTTTTAATTTGAATTTCCGCTTTAATTGTTCGCCGTGTGTGTACTGGCTTTTTCACTTCTCACAAAAAAAACCATCAACAACAACATCGACTTTTACATTAATTTTCCCATTGGCTTTATTGTTGTTGTTGCTGCTGCTATTGTTACCATTTGTTTGTTTGTTTTTTTCTCTCTTCGCTTATTTATCCACTTTTAGTTGATTTATTTGTCTTTTAATGATTTCTGTTGTTGCTGTTGTTTTTATTGTTGTAACGTTGTCGTACAACTAGTGTCTATTTGCATTGAAATTATTTAAATTAATTTCATTGATTTGCTTTTTAATGAACTCGCCATGAAACCGGAACTAAAAATAGAAACATGGTTTTTTTCTTCATTTAATTTAATTTTTTTCAATTGAATTTAATTTAAGTCGGAATATTTAAAAAGTTATATAAATTTATTAAAATATATATTTAAATTCCACCAGAAAGCCTTTAATTTGAAAATTGAAAGGTGAAATTTATAACTTGAGGACTGAAGAAATATCTTCAAATCGACAAAGCCATAAAAGAATCCTCATGCCATAAAAAGTTTATTAAAAATCGTAGTTTGAGGTATTTTGAATTTTAATTTTTAAACTAGATTTTATGGGATCTACGAACCATTTTAAAATTTATTTCAAAATTTTAACTCTATAAGCCTCCTAATATGCCATTAATTTCCACAACTTAATAGCGATAGAGACCTCTTAAGATTTCTCAAAAAAAAAAAAAAATCTACAATTTTGTGCCATAAGACCATGTGGAATTCCTTAGAATATCGAAAATTTTTAGACTTTACAGGTCCTTAAATCTCCTATTTTTAGAGGCCATAAAAATTCCCTAAAAAATCCATAATTTGATGCCATTTAAAATTCCTTTCGAAACCCTGATGTTTTGGGTTCTAAAAACTTCAAGGAATTTTTTGAAATTTCTTTGCTCTAGAGGCCTCCTAAAAATCCATCGGAATCTACAAAATGATACCTCTTTAAACTATTTTAAAATTTACGATTAGATGGCATTAGAGACTTCTTGAAATTTCTTTAAAAATTTACTATTTTTGGACGGTACACTTTATTTGTTTTTTATTTATTTTTGGTCTCACCGTGCTCTGGAAACCTCTCCAGGAAACCTTAGAAATCCAAGATTTTTTAATAATTCTGAATTCACTGAGTGTTCTTTGTTTAATCCACGTTTAATTTTTTCTTCAACTAGTCATTAAAATTCCGGGAATTTGGAAGCTTAGATGTTTTTCAAAATTCATGTAGTCCTCCTAGAAGTCTCCCAATATTTTTAAAACTTTCACAATTTGGTGACATTATTGACCTCTTGAAAATCCTTAAAATATCAAATTTGTGGACTAAACAGGCCTTCTTAATTTTCTTTCTAAATTTCTTTATTATGGTTTTACAGCTCCTGGGAAATTCTTAAATACTTCCAGAAAATTAAAATTCTATTAGAAATCGAAGATTTTTATAATCTTCTGAATTCTTTAATTAAAAAAAAGATCAAAGTTTTTTTTAAAGGTTTCTCACCCAGTTCAGAAATAGAACTGAACCTATGTAAGATCAAAATGTTTGTAATGAACGGGCCTCTAAGACTTTTTTCTATATGTCGTTTCAATTTCCAGAAATCGGATTTTCGGATTTGCCTATTCTTAAAATTCCTTAAGAAATGATAAAATTCCTTAAGAAATGATAAAATTCGGAAACATTGATGACCCCTTTACTCCTTAGAATATGTTAAAGTTTCGGTAATTGGCAGACCTCATTTCCTGAAAACCCCGCTACCACAGCCCTATAGAAGGCATATAAAAATCAAATCTCTCTCAAAATTCCAATTATTTATAAACTTAATGTCTGAAGGATGAGTGAATCATTAAAACAATGTTGAAAATCATTGTTTTTGTTACAAACTATTTGTCCTAGAAGTCCTTGAAAATTATTCGACAAAAAAATCTACGATTATTGCCAAGCAAGTCCTTAAAAACTCCACAAATTGTGGTATTAATATTATGTAGAAAATTTTCATTTAAAAATTAATTATTTGTCTGGAGGTCATTAAACAAATTTTCTTGGGAAAATTAATATTTTAAGTTTCGAAAATTCACCAATATTGGTCTGATGGAGAATAAAAAAATATCCATTTAAAAACCATGATAAAAAACCTCGAAACCCCCTATAAACAATCTTGAAAGTTAAGTTTCAAAATCTACGATTTGTGGTATGTTATTAAAAAAAAAGATATAATAATAATAATAATTAATATAATAAATATAATGTTTAATAAAAAAATCTGAAGTTGTCTGAAAAAATAATCTTAAAACAAAACACATTTGTTAATGTCATTAAAATAATATTCTAAGGATCCTTAAAAAATTCTACAAAAAAAAAAAAAAAAACACTTTTGGTGGCCTAAAAATCATTTAAATGTTATCATTAAATTATTAAGATTGTGATTGATGGAGTTTGAAAAAAATTTTAAGAAATATTCTTTAAAAAATTCAAGTTTGTAGGTCAGAAGTGATGTTAGCAACCTGAAAATTTTATACAAAAAATCCTACTTTGTTGGACTTAGGGTCCATAAAGAAATTCTTCAGGAAATCTATATTTTGTGGCCTAGGTCTGCTCGAATTATTATTTTGTTTGAAAAAATAATATTTAAGAAATTCTCCAATTATGACTAAGGTTCAATTAGGTAATGAACGTTTGGTGGTCCTTAGTAAAATTGAGAAATTCTTTAAAAAAAACCCAATGCAGGTGGTATGAGAGATTGTGTACTCAAAAAAAGTGTGTGGGGTCTGAAGGTTCTAGAAAACATTTTTTCAAATAATTACATTTGTTTGTATTAGTTTCCTCAAAGGAATGTTAAAAGCCTGTTTTTTACGACAATTGCGATACACCATTCCAGTTGCTTTTGTTGGAATTTTTTATGTGAAAAACTTGTTTGGGTTGTTGCTTTTCGTTTGTATTCACATTCGTATCGACATAAAGAAGTCCCTTAAACATATTTCAGAAATCCACATTTGTTGGTCTTAATTATTTAGATTTTTGGTCTTGAAAACATCTACAAAGACATCCATTTTTCGTTGTCTAAAGGCCCTTAAAAATTGTTTCTGGACATCCATGTTTTATGGCCTGAGGATCCTTGGGAAAATATTCTTTTAATATATCCACAGTTGATGGAAAAAAATTTACGATCGGTGGAATGAAAGTTCTTGTTTTAGAAAAATTCACATTTGATTCTCTTATGATCCTCTATAAATTACCTTTCAAAATATTTGGGGTCTGAGGACCCTCTAAACGTTTTCTAAAAATTCACAATTAGGTGTCCGGGGATCCTTTCAAATTTATAAAAAAACATCCACGATTGGCAGTCTTTGAAATTATTCTTAAAAAATCTAACTTTAATGGTCTGTGAGTTTCAGAAAGAACTCTTCAGAAATACTTCAGAATCCTTTTTTGATTGCCATGAGAAAACTTCTTCAAATAATTCACGTTTCGCGGCTGAGGTTTGAATAATTTTTCAAAACTCCCTTTTTTGTGGTTCTAGCAAAAATATTCCCTCAAAATTCACTGGGTCCTTCTTTAAAAAAATACTTTTTTAAAATCAACAATTGGTGGTTGGGGTCCTTATAATAATAAAAATCCACGATTGTTGTCTAGTAAATCCTTTCATGAATATATTTATTTTTTTGTTTTTTTTTTCTTTCAAGATTATGAAGTCCTGCGGAAATTTATCTTTATTTTCTTACCAACTTTTACTATCATAAAAG